AGCACGAGGGGTTAGGTGGGGTGGGTCTTAACGGAATACGCGCGAGAGAGAAGTCATAACAAGTACTACAGGACAGGTATACGACGTGTTTTTCGGATGGAAAATGAGCCAAACGTGAAAACGCAGCAGCATTTGGATGCACTTCAACCAAAACCCAGGCAGCGATAAAGCGCGCCATTTGTAAAAGGCAAAATATCCTTTAAAGCAGGGTCAACAAATAATCTCCATCACCACTTAAAAACACAGTATCTAATATTAAGAGTTGCATGAATTTCATTCAAGGCAAGGCAACTTTATTTACTTAACACATACAGAGGGTAAATTCAAAGTATATTCACTGACATGAATGACATGGATATGGCGCCACCTTGTGTCATGTTTACAATGCCGATTATTGACATTAGGTCTGGCAATACAGTCAATCATTATCCTGGTGATTATTTCGCAGATAAACTTACAGATGGAGCATCTTATTTCAGACAGTTTGAAACGCGAGGGTCGTGATTGGGTCGTGATTGGGTCGTGATTGGTCCGTGATCGGCCCGTGATCGGTTCGTGATGAAGAGCCGGCCCCCAGTCTGACTTGATACCGCCCCTGTGATAAATAAATGTAATTATTGTGAAGCCAATGGATCATTGATCCACCAGGGGGTGCAGTGGGGTTCCACACTGGAGCTCATGTGAAATCAACTTCGATACAGTAAGCTGGATGTACAGTATGTCTGGTACTAATGTATAATGGATCTTTGTTAAGATCCATATGTCACGGATAGGATCATAGTCTGTGCTAAATAAGACATGTAATCATTTACAAAACATCACCATGTTGTTATTTAACAAAATAATGTTGTTTAGTCGAAAAAAACGATCCTAATTTAATCATCATCTTCACCACGATCATTTATGTTTATGTTCGCCGAATTGACATGAAATCACTGACAAATATGAATATTCTGTATTCAACTTCATTAAAACGATCAGGACCCTGGGTGTTATTTTTCCCCACAATAAGAAATAGTTAGAAAAGCAGAAAAAGAACACTCAAACCGAGAGATGAGTTATTATTACAACGTGACTTCACTATTATTTAACAACTGTTTTTATTGGGTTCTTTTATTTGGGGTTAAGTATAGGTGAATTGTACTAATGTGGGAAAGATCGTGATGTCTCCTCCGATCTGCTTTATGATCTTCGTTCTCCCGCTGTGTAGATTGGGGGACCGCCGTCCTCTGTCTTCAATGTTCGACATCGCGTGAAACAGAGGATTTCGACATTCTGTATTCCTTGCTTACTTCCTTAAACCTTTTCTCCTCCTTATCTCTTTCATGACTTTTTATTTAATGCTTTATAACAGCTGCAATAGTTCGTTTAGAAATCCTAGAAACACTTTTACGGCAGCTCTCATTTACGGTAACTCCTTCTGACGTCATAGCTACCCACGTATAATATATAAACAAAGTCTTGGTTTTCAGAATATGAAACCTTTATTTCCAAATCACACGATAAATACATTTGTGAAGCTTGTAAAGGGAAGATGACAGGCCCCTCTCACTCGCAATCTGCTCCTCCGCAGCGACGCCCACCTCCCTCCGGCTGAAATTATGAATGTACAGTAAGGCATATAGTAATCATAGATAACACGGCAGGTTCCGTTACAGTTTGTTTTCATCTGATTTCAAATAAACAAAGTCTTGGCTTTCAGAATATTAAACTTGTTTCGGCAAATTTAGATGATAAATACAACTATGAAGCTTGTAACGGCATAATTACAAGCGGAGAACGGAGTAATTTAACGTTACAGCAGGCATAACAACAGCCGGTGTTTATTTTATTATTATATATAGTCGTTATTCATTTGTTTTAAAGCTCAATAAGGAAGATTTAAACTTTCACACACGTTGACCGGCGAAAAACTCTGCCCGGTTCCCTCGGCCCCCACCACGTTGAATAAACCGAAGGCTGCTTTTGTGGAGGACGTTACAGCGCTACGTACAGGCTCGGCATATGTACTGCAGCTTTTTCCAGCGGTATCCATAAATCTCTTAATTTTGACCTCAAAGTGCACCAGATTCAATATAAAGAAAAACATCTTCTGTTGTAACAACAATAACATTATAAATAGTAACATTGCTGAACATGGTATTGCACATTTAGCTTTCAGTGTTACTGACCTGAGATGTTTTTATTACATGAATTAAGGTGACTGAGGCTTTTTAACATAGACTTTTCAGTGTCCCACATACCCACATACTGTTCACCATCCCCCACCCCCCTACTGTATGTTGATTTTTGACTTTGTTTGCCTACATGTAAATGGGTGGCATTTAGTACCTACCCCCCTCTGAGTGAATACCTGTTGTACCTGTCCGGGGCTAAGCCCATAGGACGATGCTCTGATGTCATCACCCTCGCACATTTGTCATATGTTTACAAAAAACGATGTTAACACTTTCTCGTTCTTAATATATGCTATATTTAGGGTCGATATGTGTTGAATTTACTTTAAAATAGCAGATCACTGTGACCGGATATAGTTTTTTCGGCTTAGTGAACGTGTGTCTCTTCCTCCGCGGCTCCTCCGTGCAGAGAGTTTGCAGCGGTGTGTGTCAGCAACGTGCAGTCAGGGGAAGCACGGAATGGCCGTCGGGAGAGTTGGGACTTATTCATAGGCCAGCTGTGAGTTCTGGAGAATCACAGAACGGCCGGACGCCAACGGCCCGGTTCGCTTACGGCCGACAACACCCCCACCCCCCCCCGTTGACAATTCACGAGCGTCTAACTCTCTCCCCCCCCCCCCCCGTCGCACCTTCTAACAGAGCCCCCCCACATATCAAATCCCAATTTAACCCCTGGCCTCTGGAGCAGAAATGAAAGAGTTTTAAAAATGTTTACGTTTTGGTAAGTGTTTTGGGAAATGTTGTAATATTGCAACGTTGGCCTTAGGTGGGAGCAGAATTTCTGTATTTCTACTCACATTGTCTGAATAAATATATTGAACAACTAAGGGTTAATTTGCAGGATTGATTGCTTACTTAGCCCTATATCAGTATATAGCATGAATAATAATCACACATCACTCATATTTGTTATGAATAATAATTTATCATTTATTAAATAGTAAGTTGCTTTGGATAAAAGCGTCAGCTAAATGCAATTTATGAAAGCCTCACTCAGGATTTTTTTACCAAGTGTTTTTATTGCTCTTGGGGCATTAAAAACAAGATTTTAACTTTAGTTTTTTATATAATATCTGCATTTTCTCTTGTGAAAAACTTAGTCTTAGTTTGGCCATAATTATTTAATATATAAAGACTATATATTATTGAATTACAAGATTAGATATACTTCATTTGATCTAAAATATTGATGTGTTCAAATGCTCTTCTAAACAAAACTGAAAGTCCATGAAAAGTTGTCTTCCTGTTTTTGTGAAGGAAGCGCCATCTCCTGGTTAAATCCTGATATTGAAAATCTGGCAACGCCCTCTTGGAAAATAGTGGGAGGGCTTAACATTCCCAGATACTGGTCTTTGGCAGGTCTTAGGCAGGTAACTGGCAGGTAGTAGGCAGGAAGCAGTAAGCTGGAGTCTGAAATAAGATGCTCCATCTGTAGTGACACCGCCCCCTTTAAAAAAAAAAGGGGGGCTCTTTTGAACGGCTCTTTGAAAGGAACGGAGCCATAAGATCCGGCTCTCTTCAAAGAGCCATAATTCCCATCACAGTACAATAATACGAAGTACTTCGGGCTCTGGTCTTACTACCGTGTGATATACGTATCAGGACAGTCAGTCAGAAGAGAGCCCCGAACATGAATATTGGGGCAGTTTACATACAGATTCTGTGGGAGGAGTTGTGTCGGTTGCTCCTCCCTTCATATTTGTAATTGGTGGCATCACTCCTGGGCGGGCCCTAGGCAATGAGTCAGCAGCCGTTGACTCCGTCTGGTTCGCGCCATTTCCTTACAAGGAGATGGTTGGCGCTGCTGGGAGTCGTATTCAAGTTGCACATAACCGATGTTCGACCCGCTGTGTCCAATATTCGACCCGCTGTGTCCCAATAGTGATATTTCATCTCTTCATATTTCTAACTTCCTGTTCAACACACTCTCACTCCCAACGCGTCCAGGAGCGACGCTTGGTCAGAATTCCGTGGCGTCCAGTTGTGACGCGCCGAGTCTCCATCAGCGTCATAAACGGATGCAAAGAGCTTTCAACTGATTGCAATGTATTCCCATCGGCGGCGGTATTTGACGCGTAGGGAAGCACGGCATTCGTTTGTGTCGGCAGCTGTTAAAGGCAATGTGAGCGTCCATTCCCATTGGATAACGGAGAATTGTACACCCGGAAGTAAGTATTCTCCTTACTGTCGATTGATTTGACAGTGATATCTCCATTACTCATCCACTCAAAAACACCAGATTACCTTTGTTAATTAAACGACATTGATAGGTTTAAATTGTGTACAATGCTTTTGTGTTTTTCCCCTACAATTCTGAGACAACTTGTTTTCTCTGAAATGTGGAGCGCCAAAAAGACTACACTACCCACAATCCCCAGCTATTGTTGTGACGACTTCTGTCCGCTTTGCGACAAAACCTTGTGATAAGTCAACAAGCTCTGTGATTGGATGAAACATAAATAGGTGATATCTGCACTACTCATTAACTAAAAACCACCAGATTATCCTTGTTAATGAAACGACATTGATAGGTTTTAGTGTAAAATGCTTTTGTCACGTTTTCCCCTTCAATTCTGAGAAACAAGTAGTTTTGAGTTTTGGATGGCCGAAGACACTACACTACCCACAATCCTCAGCTATCTTCGCGAGGCCAGGTCTCGAGGTCACGTAGTTCACGTGATACA